CCCCAAAACCCCAAAACCCCAAAACCCCAAAACCCCTTTTGGTCTTTACGATTGAAGTAATAAAAGTGATTAGGTATATAAAATATTAATATTCTATTCTAAATATGAGCGGACTACCTCCTCCTCCACCACCTCCCCCACCGCCCACCGCTGGAAATGCTTATACACCTTCAGCACCTCCCCCACCCCCACCTCCAGGTGGAGCTCCTGCTTCTACAAGTGGATCAGGAGGACCTCCTCCTCCACCTCCAGCTAACTTCAAGGGCTTTAAGAGAAAATTTGCAAATCCTCCAAAAAAGATCAAGAAAATGGACAAAAAGAAGAAAAACAAATTGAAGGAAGAAATGCGTGCTCCAGCTGGAGGAATGAGTTTGATGGATGAACTGGCTAAAAACTTCAACAATGCTTCTAAAAATGGTAATCATTCAGCTTTATCTGCATATCCATATCTTGCTAAACTTTTAATTTAGAGATTTCTATTGGAGATAGCGATGATGAACCTGCTGTTGAAGAACAAAAAGCTCCAAGTGTTCCAATACAACATACTACACAGAATATGAATTTAAGCGAGCCTCCACCTCCCCCACCGCCAATCAGAAGCGGAGCTCCTGTTCCTACTGCAAATCTTAAGCCAGCAAGTACCTCTTCTGCTCCTCCTCCCCCTCCAATAGGAGGAGCTCCTTCTGCATCAACCATAAGTCATCCCCCTACGACCACTCTTTCCAGTCCTCCTGCTCCTCCGGCGCCTTTTCCAGTTGCTACTCCTCCTCCTATGTCGGTCCCTACAGCTCCACCTGCACCAGTCAGCAACTTTGCTGAAATGGCTGTTGACGCTAAAGGAGGCATCTCTGTTGGAGTGTACTCGCTCCACACTCAGGGTTCCTCTTCAGCTCCTCCCCCTCCACCTCCTCCAATGTTTGCTCCTCCACAGGAGGAGGTCAAAGATGAGGAAGAAGAAGTAGACGAGGATGAGATTACAGAGTTCCTGAAGAAGATCAGAAAGCAAGAAGAAAGTGATGAAGAAGACAAAGAAGACCATGAGAATGTTAGAGCAGCCAGAATGTCGATAGTTAAAAGAAGCAAAGCAGCTTCTATCAGTAAGTGGGTTATGTCATTTTTAGAGGAAGAAAGCACTATTAAAAATTCAGACCAGTTTTTGGATACAGACCATGCTGGATATACCTCTACTGTTTGGGTAGAGATTATTAATGAAGAAGGAGACAAAGTTTTCTTGAACAGAGTCACAGGAGAAATCGCACTTCAGAAGCCTGATGATGACCAAGCACAAGAGGAATATGAAGAGTCAAAGGAAGACTGGAGATGGATTCCTGATAAAGAAGAAGCTTGGATGCCAGCTCAATTTATTCAGAGAAGGCCAACAGGGAAATATGAGTATAATGATGTTGAAGGCATTATGTTTACTATTTCAGAGAAACTACATAAGAAAACTGTCAAATTCAACAAGAAATCTTTACAAAATTATGTGCATGATCTCTTAATGCTTGATGAGGGTACAGAGGCTACTATTTTGCATAATATCAAGAATAGATTCCAAAAGAAAAGGATTTATACAAGATTAGGAAAGATTCTTATCTCTGTGAATCCTTACAAATTATATCCTATCTATACCCCAGATGTGGTAGAGAAATATCAAGGAGCCAGAAACACGTCATCTCTCCCTCCTCATATTTATGAAGTGGCAAAAGGAGCAATTGAAGAGCTGATTAAAACCAAGCATCCTCAATCAATTCTTATTGCTGGAGAATCTGGATCAGGAAAGACAGAAGCATGTAAACAATGCATGCAGTATCTCGCTGAAGTAGCAGGAAGTGAATCAGACATGGAAAGAAAGCTTCTTGATTGCAGCCCTATCCTTGAGTCCCTTGGAAACGCTCAGACAGTTAGGAATGATAACTCCTCTAGATTTGGAAAATGGAGTGAAATTTATTTTGATCAAAATCATAAAATTGTAGCAGGACAAGTAATCGACTACTTGTTGGAAAAATCAAGAGTCACTCACCAAGAAAAAGGCGAAAGAAACTATCACATTTTCTACCAACTTTGTAGAGGGTTAACTGAACAGCAGAAGCAAGAGTATAAAATCATGGAGGTGGAAAACTACAGATATCTAACTCAAAGTAAAAAGACTAAAATCAAAGGAGTTGATGACAGTCAAGTTTTCTCTGAGACGTTTGCATCAATGGAGAAAATCTTAGGTAAAGATGCCACTAAAAGTCTGGTCAGGATATTATCAGCTGTATTATTGATAGGAAATATTGAATTCATCGATAATCAAGATGACTCTACTAGCATTAATCCGAATTCAATGGATACTATCGCTAAAATATCTTCTCTATTAGGGATAGACGCTGCAGATTTTGAAAAATTCCTTACTATTCAATCCTCAGAAGTTGCTGGCAGCGAAATGATCTCTAACATGACCCTTCCTAAGGCAGAAGAGGCTAGACATGGTTTATCAAGAATGATCTACCAAAGGTTATTCCAAGAAGTGGTTAGACTCATAAATGATTCTCTCGAAAGTGAATCTGCCACAAAAAGCACCAAAAGAAGATACATAGGAATTTTGGATATTTATGGATTTGAAATATTTAAGAACAACTCTTTTGAACAGTTTAGCATCAACTATGCGAATGAGAAACTGCAACAACACTTTGTCAAATATGTAAGCCATACTCCCATTAATTTAAACTTTTTAAGTTTCACTTGTGAGATCTTGTTTAATGCATATCTATAGACCTTTAAGACAGAAGAAAAAGTTTACGAAGAAGATGGAATTTTCTGAGAGAAGATTAAGTATAAAGACAACATTATGATCCTTGAGGTCATTGAAGACAAGATGACAGGAATCATTACCATCCTTGATGATGAATTAAGAATCCCTCAGTCTTCAGATCAAAGACTTCTCGAAAAAATTGATCAAGCTAATAAAGACAAGAAGGAAGCTTTTTATAAAGACTATAGAAAGATAGATACTTTCACTATCATGCACTTTGCTGGAGATGTTGATTATAATATCCTTGGATTTGTAGAGAAGAACAAAGATCAGAGCTCAGGAAACATGAAAGCAGTCATGCAAAACTCAAATATTGAGTTAGTTCAGCAACTTTTCCCAGACACAGAAGATACTAAAAATAAAGCTCAAAGATCACTAGCTTATCAATTCAGAAAACAGCTGAATAGCTTAATGAAAACTTTGGAGGACACTAATCCATTCTATATCAAGTGTATCAAACCAAATCATCATAAGAGCCCAGATGAGTTTGACCCAATGCTTGTGCTGGATCAGCTAAAGAGCACAAGAATTGTAGAGTCCCTTGAAATTGTACAAAAAGGGTTCCCATACAGACTTAAATATCAAGACTTTGCTGCTAGATACAAAGTAGTTAATCCAAATTACACTGGAACTAACTGGAAGAAAGCAACTGAGTTAATTTTAAAGAAGCTGAACTATGATACAAACAGATTCAAGCTTGGGTATAACTTTGTTCACTTCAGATCAGAAGACAATAAATTTATTGAAGCTCAGAGAAACCTCAGTATAGATAAACTAATCATCAAAGTTCAGAATGCTGTCAGAAAGAGACAAGCAAAGGCATTATACAGAGAGCTTAGGAAATACAAGCAACTTTGCCTTGCTGCTTTGGAAGATGGAACTCTCCCTGTTGTAGAGGCTGCCCTGAAAAAGGGAGAAAATCTCAAATTTATCATTAAAGAGCACAAACAGCTTAAGAACCTTGAATTCAAGCTAAAGGAAGAGCTTGAGTTGCAGAGAGAACTTGAGGAGCTCGCCAAACTTAAAGGAGCTCAGAATCTTGACAAGATGGAAAACTTAGTTCAAAGAGCAGACAAAGTTGGGTTTAATAATCAAGAGATGGCTAGGCTAAAAGAGATATATGAGAAAGAGAGAGAAATCAAGAAAATTCAAGATACTCTTCTGAAAGCTATAGACAGCTTTATGGATATTGAAGCTCTCAGAGCTGCACTTGATAGAGCAAGAGAGTTAGGAACTATTCCAACTGAGCTTATTGAAAAAGCCCAATTGATTCTTGAAAGATATCAAAGAGAAATAGATCTGTTTAGACAAGTTCTCCAAGCATTTACTATAGGATGTCCAACAGATTTCACACAGGGGCCTCAGCAAGTTGAATATTCTCACATTGATCCTCTATTGCAGCAATTCAGAATGGTTCAACCATTCTATAACCAACAGGAGTTCCCTCAACACTTATACGAATTTGAGATTATGTTTGGAATGAGAGCTGCTGTAAAATCAGAAGACTTCAATCAAATGCAAGCTTACTTAATAAAAACAAACGATATTTTCATGAACGAGCACTTCCATACGGAAGTTAATATTATGAAACAAGTTGTTGCTCATTTTGGAGAGGTCGAGAAGATCAAAGCTACTGTCTGGACTGCCATCGACACTATGGACCTCAATACGATCAGGTATTGCATGGACCAAGGAGAAATTTATGGAATCAACTGGGAAACAGTTGTTAGACCTGATGATGGGGTTCACCAGGCTGTCACTATGAGTAGCATTTTCAACTCAGTTATCTCAGAAGCAACAGTTGCAGTCAACGTTATGGAAAGAGAGATCATGAAGAGATGGTATGATACTCTTTGCGCATTCAAATTACACAATGAAGTGTACCAAGCTCTGAAGTATCTCCTTGAAGAAGTTGATAAAGTCAAATTTGATCAGCTTGCGTACAAGGCAGCCATGTTCCTCAAAGATGAAAAACTAATCATTTGGAGAACTATAAAAATGAAAGAATTTGAGTTTGTTGGTGATGTGAACATGTCTAAATGGGTCCTCAGCTCATGTCATTTACTGAAAGACCCAGATGACTGGGCTGCAGGAGGTGGTTTCTTCAAAAGTAAGAAAGATCTATCTAGAGGATTCTATTTATACTCAAAGAAGTCTATTCATGAATCTCTGACAAAGAATCTCAATAAGATACAAAATAAACTAGCTGTTCAGACATTTAAGAATCTACTGGGATACTCAGGAGAGAAGTCAGTTCCATATCCATACATGTCTGGAGTAAAAGTCCTTGAGACAGGAATTAAAAACGCAGATCTCAGAGATGAAATATATGCTCAGATTTTGAAACAATTGCTGAAGAATACCGAAGAAGTCTCAAAGCTCAGGATGGAGAAATTTTTGATATTGTGACTTCAATGCTTTGCTCCACAACACATGGAGAATTATGTAGATTTCTTTATTAGAAAGAAAATGAAATACCCAAAAGTCCTTCTCTATATGATGTAAGTAAAAATTATCATGAGCCTATAGGTACGAAAGAGTCTGCATCCAACAAACAGTTAACTACGAAGATGATGCGCTTCAGAAAATGGTGAAATATGCAAAGAAACCCAGTGAGATTCTGGATATTGATGAGTACTTACCATCATACAATGCTGGCAGCCATCCTCATCTAGCCACATACCAAGGAGGATTAATAAAAAAAGATGCTAAGATAATGAAGTTAAAGTAATAGACTTCCAATAAATTATATAAGCGAGGGGTTTTGGGGTTTTGGGGTTTTGGGGTTTTGGGG